ATTCCCTTCTACTTGCATGTCACCCGCATGAGGTTGTATTGGTAGAATGGTCACAGATATGAATCTATTCCCTCAGAGGATAGAGTGACTACTTTTTAGTACTTCTTTTAAACGATATTTAGCCCTATGTTGCAATAGAGAAATCCAAGAGACCGCTCATAGGATATTCGAAAAAAAGAGAAATAAGAGAACCTCGATAGGGGAAATCGTACCACAAGACCTGTTAAGAAAGGAAGGAGAGTTCTAGTGCGGTTCGCAATGCCGTTCAGAGAAGATGAAAATGGGATGTTCCAGGGATTTAGGCATACAGCGAATCAATTTCTGTGGAATCCTACTTCCTATAACCTCTTCATTTGTGGAATTTTTTAGCTGCTTCAACTGCTGTGGTAAGTTGAGTGTTGGGGTGGGTGGTAAATAGGTAGAGCTAGGACCACTTGAGAAAAAGCAGTTAGGGAGCAGCCCAAACGTGATGAGAGGTGGAGCCGAGGACAGGGGTGATGGGGCAACATTGCGTACCCTGTTCGCCCATATCTCCCGGGTTTTTAAGGCTTTGACTTCTCTAGGTCACCAATAAAATGAATCAAATGAAGCTACGTATAAGTCATACACAAGCTATGAAAAAAGCATAGTTTTATTTTTGCTAAAAGTTCAATTTAAATTTTTATCAAAGTGAATTAGTTTCAATGAGCCATTCTGTCTAGCTCTAGCTCCACCTTGGTTCATTCCTAATTCAGGACTGCCAACGGGACCAGGGGAGGGGAGGGGGAGGAGCATATAACGGGCTAAAAATGACTGGTAATCCAACGGGAGCCATGGGAAGGGGAAGGATGAGGGGCACATGGCCAACGGACTAAAAAATGCTGGTAATTCCCCCGATACATCCTGGTTCCCATGAATCGATGCGACCACCCGTCGTGCGCCACACCTCCTCCAGCCGCTTATTTTGGAGGCCGCAAAGGCGTTCTATTCTTCATGAAATACAGCATTTTCCCGTCTGCTTCATTTTTCCCCAATAATCGTCTGGATTCAGTTGACGTGACAACTAATTTGGCCTTTTATTGTGAATCGAAAATTTCATTTAAAAATCAGCCCATTTCGCAATTCTATGCATGCAAGCTTTATTATGCATGGCTTCCTGCATTGGATATCCATAGACGAGAGGGATTACGAAAGAATTTCCTAGTCGGGCCGGGCTTTTACACGGCCGCTGGGACATTCTACTCCGGGTTTTTCTAGAGGCAGAGTGTCCCAGCGATTCTTTTTGAAGTTCCTTTACAAGCTTGACCGTATTTTCCTCAAACATCATGTACCTGAGACGAAAGATCGTCCCTTTCCCAGAAATTTCCTGCCTTTTTCCCACTATCCTTCTGTTGGCGAAGGCCACCCACCCAACACCCATTAAGCGCTAAAAAAGGATTGGCCCCAAAAGGCGACCTATATTGCCAGTGTAGATGTAATAGCTGTTATAAGTAAAGGCTTCCCATTAGTTGGAGGGGCATTTTGGTGCAATAGTTCCCGCTGACTACAGTAATCCCAATTTTTTGCAGAAATGCAAAGCACAGAGGTGGAAAAACCAATTAGTTTATGCAAAAAAGGGAACCGGGCTGAATATTAATTTTTGGTTTGTGATAAAAGACAATATTTGGCGCTCATCCGGTAAGGGGGGGGGGGCATTGTGATGCAACGTCTAATAGCTGCCCTCACCCCCCACCCCCTGAACTGGCTTCACTCCCCCTGGCTCACGGGGTCCCGTACTTCGAGAAACCTGTGCGCCAGGGGGAGTGTAGGCAGTCTAGGGGGGTGGGGGGTGAGGGCAGCCACTTGATGCCCCCCTTACTGGATGAGAGCGAAGTGCAATATTTGTGTGGGTTAAATGCCTGAGGGTTTCTGCAAAATACCCCCCCCTAGCTATCCAGGCCTTTCATTCCTAGCTTCTTATTCTTCCCGAAAATG